ACAAGCCTAAGTAGTCATATTCTAGTCCTGAATACGATTTTCCGAATAGCCGTAAACCTGTAAGGATATAAGACAAAATATGATTAGATATAGATAGATAGATAAAGAGGATAAGGCTTTTACTGCATACGGAAGAGTATATTGGCCATACAAATGTACATAAATTTGTGATAAACATTTCCAATCTTTAAAGAATTTGCATAGGTTGGCTCTGGTTGCTTAGCGGCAAAGGAGCATTTAGCGAGCAAAGAAGAGCTGAAGCAAGTACTACATTTATACCAGCTTTGCCTTTTAGCGAGCTATTTCAATCAATGCCTCATTTGCTAATAACCATCGAAAAGTCATGTAACTCTACTAATACTTACTAATCTCAATGCTGCGCATGTACAATGATTCTGCTTCGCGATATTTTCCCATATGATAATTATAAAGTGAAGCCAAGTGACCAATCGACAGACCCACTTCATAATCATAGGCACCCAAAAGATCTGTTTTAATTTGTATTGCTTTTAGATGCATACGTTCCGCTTCCTGTAAAGAATAAACGAAAATATATGTGAAAATGTAGTGGCGAAATAGTGCTTTTTGATAGTAGTTAAATTGTTAAGTAATGAAAATTTATAATAATTTATATGGAGATTCCTTTTCCAGCATCTAGCGTGCTGAAGTTGTATGCCGAATCACGTCGATTCAATATCCACTGACCCCTAAAAAATGTTGACTGATAAGATGTGATCTGCAAAATAACAGCTAAACCTTCTACAAACTACTTTTGACGATAACAAAAAATTATACACGGAGCACGGATACACCTTCGTACCTCAAATCGATTCATAGTTTGATAAAGTCGGCCTAAATTGCCGTAGTGCTTAGCTGTTTGCACGTTCACTTCGCCGAACATTTCCAATGATAACTTCAGCGCAAAATTATGCAGCTCCTCAGATTGGCGCAAAAGTCCATCTTCATCAGCGCCTCCGTCAGTTAGCTTATCTAACGCGATTTCCTCAAGTAGCAGCGCTTTCACACGTTTTGCTGATGCCAGCACCAAGTGATTTCTCGGCACT